GGCCCCTAAAGCGCCCTTCATGTCGCTGTTGCGTAAGCTGTAGATGAAGGGGTTCAGCATCGGAGTGACCACGGTGTACATCACCGCAGCAGCCGTGTCCTTCTGAGCCGTGCGGGAGGACATAGGGCTGAAATAAACCCCAATAAGTGTCCCATAGAACAGTGACACCACAGAGAGATGAGAGCCACAGGTGGAGAAAGCCTTCTGCTTGCCTCTCGTGGACGGGATCCTCAGCACAGCAGTGAAGATACGTGTGTAGGAGACCAAGATGCCCACGAAGGGGGTGATGATGTGCAGGGTGCCCACAGTGTACACCAGTGCATTGTTGAGAAACGTGTCAGAGCAGGCTAGCTTCAGCAGAGGGCTGAGGTCGCAGAAAAAGTGGGGGATCCGGTTGTGGGAGCAGAATGAGAGGCGGGTCAGTAATACCGTGTGGGCCAGGGTATTCCCAAAGGCTGCAGTCCAGGACGCTGTCACCAGGAGGCCACAGAACTGTGGCGTTACAGACCTGGCATAGTGCAGAGGGTGACAGATGGCTGCATAGCGATCGTAGGCCATGGCGGTCAGCAGAAAGCTATCAATGCCGGCAAACCAGATGAAGAAGAACATTTGGGTCAGGCAGCCAGAGTAAGGGATCCCTTTGTGTCCTGACACGTGGTTGGCCAGCATCTTGGGAATGGTGGTGGAGGTGAAGCAAATATCTACAAATGCCAGGTTGGCCAAGAAGAAGTACATGGGAGTGTGGAGCCGGACGTCGGTGGCGATGGCCAGGATGATGAGCAGATTCCCCATACCTGTGACCAGGTACATGCTCAGGAACAGTATGAACAGCAGCTGCTGTTCTTTGGGGTCTTCTGAGAGGCCCAGGAGAAGGAACTCAAAGACCCAGGTGAAGTTTGCCCCTTCCATAGTCATCCTGAATTAACCAGAGAGGCAATAGAGGAGCTGTCCGTGGTTCTGGCTAAGGCTAGCCCTTCCGTTGCACCTTGGATCTCATCCCCTCTCAATAGTTCAGACATTCATCAATTCTGCCCACTCTCTCCTGCAACAGGATTCTCCTACCCATGTTTTGCATCATTTCCACCAGTGAACACACCACTCATTGCTCACAGCCCACCTGCGTGATGTCACCTGTGGCTTGGTGCACAGCTCCCAGAC